GTGACCGTGTGTGGGGACACGATGCCAACGTGTTCATCGCCCACATGGCTCATGCGCTGTTGGAGAAGGAGGGGTGGAAGGGTCGGGGGTTCAGTCATGTGTCTGGATGGATTCGCTCTCGCTTATCTATCGCCCTCGCGCGTGCGACTAGCTTCTGTCTGCGTGGGGGAGGGAGGGGAGGGTTTGCGGGACTGGGGTGTGCTGATGGGGCGGGGATTGATCCCTCCTCCCCTTGAGCCTGTTTGACTCTGCATGCTGATGGGACTGTATTTGTATGAGTATCACGGACACACAGACGAGTGTTACGGTTAATGACAGTTTCTCCCCCTTGTCATCAGGCCGGCCTCATCGGCATTGGAGGGGGTCAGACTGCAGAGAGTGAACATCTCGCCACACGGGGCCGTTTCATCCACCGCAAACACCTCGGACCCGGCACAGCGGCTGCCAATGGCGCGGCCGAACGATGCAACACAGCAGCTACAGCTGCAGGAGTCGAGCACAGAATTCGCCACCTTCCACGACTTTGTGGCTCACACTTGCGCATCCCTACTTCGCTCAAGAAGCCACGGGATGACACGAGTGGCGGACACAAGCCAGCGGATGTGTTGTTGAAGGAACGGCTGGGCCCTCAAGCCTATGCTCTGGAGCAGATTTGTGCCGCGCAGGCGGCAGATAGAGACTGGGGCAGATACAACCGCACTCTGTTGGGGAGGAGGATCTTCTTTGCCGCGAATCTCTACACCAACCAGCCCGTGCTGTCTGACTGGATGCTGCAGCTGCTGAAGGCTGTCGACTTCCTTGGACCCAGAAACGTCGGCATCTCTATTTATGAGAATGGCAGCCACGACAGGACAAAAGAGCTGCTGCGGGTGCTGGATGAGGTGCTGACTGCGTATGGCTTGGCGCATAGTGTTGTCACCGACGCAGAGGAGAAGCCCAAGAACGTTCACCGCATTGAGTACCTCGCCAAGGTGCGCAACCGCGCTTTGCAGCCTTTGATCAGGGAGGCCGGTGTGGCCACGTATGATCGGATCCTCTTCTTGAACGACATTTACTTCTGCGAGCACGACATCATAGAGCTGCTGCACCAGTCGCTGCTCAACGAGGCGGACATCGCGTGTGGGATGGACTATAAGACCGCCGACCGCAATCGGAGAACTGTCGACTTCTACGACACGGTGGGTCTCCGGAAGGAACGCATCAGCCCACACATCAACTGCAAGGTGTCCTTGTGTGGCTGTTTCAGTGGGTGTTTCGAGACAGAGGTGGCAATCCATGGGGCTCATTCGCTCCTTCGAGCATGCGGGAGCTTCAAAGCGGCAAGCCTCTTCAAGTGGGCTGCTGCTGGAACGGCGCTGCTGCTCTCAGCCCCATCCCCTTCATCGCACACGACGTTCGCTTTCGCCGAAGCCGCGATGGCGTCGTCGGCTGCCCCGTCGACAGAGAATGCTCTGCGTCCGAGTGCTCACTCCTCTGCAAGGACTTTGCGAGAAACGGCTTCCACCGGGTTCTGGCCGTCCCTTCGATGAGGGTAGCATACGATCTGGGGACTTATCAGCTCTTGCCGAAGCCCCCACCGCGCGAAGCCCTTGCCGCGATGGACAGACCGATTGAGTGGCAGCCATTGTCCCGTGAGACGCTGTGCTGGGGCATTGTGAGGCCGGGCAGTGAGCGGACGGCCAAGGACTGCCCGCAGGTGTGGGAGTGCCTTATGGACGACAGGAGCGCACACAGACGGAGTGGGCTACAGTGCAGAGATCTGCCGCCGGCGTGGCATGATGTCACCAAGGCAGCTGCGGAAGAGAGCAAAGGCGGAGACGACAAGAGATAGGGTGGCTCGGTGCATGGGGAATAGGGATAGCTCGCTGTGTCTTGCTGCCTTAGATGACTTGTGGCGTCTATGCAGTGAGGGTTTTGTACTACACGTGAGTGTCCCTGAATGTCTTGGGACGATAAATTAGCGTGCCTTGGCCAAGAGACACAGCAAACTGAGCGAGTCAGTTTTTCCGCCACTTTATGGACATTTCGCGAAATTTGCTGAGGCACTTTGAGGGATGGTAGAGGGCACGGAAACGTCCATCCAGACACGCAGAATGACCACCATTCACGTGAAATTACGATTGTTCGCCAGTGCAAAGTTCGACATGTACGAAGTCCGGGAAGGAAGGACAGAAAGGGGATAAGTGCACTACTCTTGCCCAGCGCCAAAGCGACAAAATCATTGATGGTGACAGACACACAAATGGATGGATGGATGCATGCATGCATGCATTGATGGACTGATGTGTCTCGCCTTCTCTCAGAGGGCGAGACACATCAGAGGGAGGGACCAAGGCGTGCAGCAGACACACACAAAGTTGAGGTCGTTCTGCTTGATGAGCGGCTCATGTCCATTCAC